TGGTGGTTAAGTGCACGCGCTCCGCTGCTGGCGGCCGGGGTTCGATCTCGGGCGCGCACCGACGCACCGCTTCTTCGGCCATGCTGAGGCCGCGTCCCACATACAGCAACTAGAAGGATGTGCAGCTATGACCTACAACTATCTGCTGGGGCTTTGGGGGAAAAAAATAAATAAATAAATAAAATTATAAAAAAAAAAAAAAGAGTTCAAATAATGATATGTAAAGGTATAAATACAGGACACTGTACTTTAGGGTGTTAAGATGCTTTATTAGCTTCTGTACTTAAAAGGATCAAGACCATGGGTGGGGTGGGTAGTGGTAGGGTAAACCGCCTCTTAAAAAGCTTACATAAAAGTACAAAAGCACAAACTCTGGACCTAGGAGTCTTCTAAATCCCGGCTCTGCAACTAACAGTGTGACTCTAGGCAAATTACTTAATTTTCTCGGTCTTGGTGTCTTCATCCGCAGAACAGGGGCAACTCTAACTCTATCTACCAAACAGGTGAATACAGTAAGTATTACATGATTGATAATTTGAGATACCAGCTGTAAAAGTGCAAAGGAACTAAAACACCATATAAACATAAGGCATAAATCAACGGAAAAACGGGAGTAGAGGCGAAATGTTCTGATCTCTTTTGGGAATTTCTCATTGCCAATTTACCTGAAACTTGCTTTGATCTGACTGCTGCTATTCACATAACCCTTATACTTCATGGACAGTGACAAATCTCTAAGATCATATAGTCGGATTCTGGAGTCATTTGAGGTTACCAGTATCTAAAAATAAATCAAAGGAAAAGTTAAAAATACCATCTTTTAATCTAAGTTAAGGTATAACCAAAAAAGGGTGTTACACACATATAGAACATACCTCAAAACTAGAAAAAGCAGTATTCCATAGGAAAGAAAATATGTTCTTAGCCAAGACATTAAGAACTAATTTTCAGGAGTCTATATATATTGTGGTGAGAGATGGTTCTGAATACTTAGTACCTTATTTTCTCCAGGTAAAGGCTCAATTCCAGTAATTTTTCTTCCAACCTTGTTGCGCCCTCTGGTCGATCGGACATGTATCTGTGTGTGGTATTTCAAATGCTAAAAAAGAAATGACAAATTAAAAATATCAGAATTAGAAGGAACCTCAAAGATCATCTGATCCAGCTTGCTGATAGACATGGTATTAATTGCCCCAATTTACACAGCCCAGAGAGGATACACCAACTTATCCAAAAACCACAGAAGTGTTTTTACTAAGTATTCGATCATGTAATTTACACAAAATAATTATTTACCTCTGTATCATAGAAAATACATCTGCCATCATATGTCCCAATCACTGCATATTTGCCATTCTGACAGAAATTTGCAGCTGTGATTAATTTTGTTTGACCATCTACTTCATTCCATAAAGCCACTTTTTTGTCAGGTATGTTCCAAAGGCGGAGCTTTCCATCCAATGACCCACTTAGAAAATACCTGTCATCCTAAAAATGTGGCAAAAGAGAAAGCTTTCATGTCACCAGATCAAGAAAAATTCATTAGCAAATCAAAACCTTAAGTCTATTAGAAATAATATTTAAAATATGTAGGTCTCATTGAAAAAATATTAAAGTTTCCTTCCCAACCCTCCCACAACTATTCCTACCTATATGCTTCTTCAAGCAAGCACTGTTTTATTCACTAAAAATAACAATTAGAAACTTCAGTATTCATTTTAAAGAAATGACTTTCTAATCACTTTATCATATCCTTCAACTGCTTTCCCAAGTATGGATGTTAACAGATAATGTGTTGGAGTGTATAATATGTAGGAGAGGATTCTGTGATTAAATAAGTTTGAGGGGCCGGCCTGATGGTGTAGCAGTTGAGTTCGCGCATTCCACTTTGGCGGCCCGGGGGTCACCGGTTTGGGTCCTAGGCACGGACCTACTCACTGCCCATCAGGCCGTGGCCCACATGGAGGAGCTACAACTCTACAACTATGATACACAACTATGTACTGGGGCTTTGGGGGGAAAAAAGAAAAAAAAGAGGAGGATTGGCAACAGATGTTAGTGCAGGGCCAATCTTCCTCAAAAATAAATAAATAAATAAGTTTGAGAAATTCTGGGTTACAGAAAGTGAAACAGGATTTTCAGTTAACATGCATTCTGAATCTCCAACGTGGGGACAATGTAGGTAGCATTTTCCAACCTATTAAACCACAGACTTTTGGGGGGGTTGGGAGGGGGTCAGGTAGGAACACCTAGCATGGCTAGCATCTTCAAGGAACGAGCTTTGGGAAAAACTATCCTATAATGATACCTTTGCCCATACCCTCCTCTGGGATACATGTGACAGTTGGATAAAAGAGTAATGCCAGTTAGCCCACAGAACCAGTCAGTTTTGGGAACTATGACATCATGTCACCAGAGAATCGCTTCACTATTCAAATTCTCAATCTCAAACCAGGGGTTCTCAACTGGCGGCAATTTGGCCCCACAGGGGACACATCTAGCAATGTCTGGAGACATTTTTTGATTGTCACAACAGGGGGATGGGGTTCTACTGACATCTAGAGGCCAGGAATGCTGCTAAAACTTTCCACAATGCACAGGACAGCCTTCCCTCCCTCTACAACAAAGAATCATCCAACCCAAAATGTCAGTAGTGCCGAGGCTGAGGAATCCTGCTCTAAACTAAACAAGGCCTACCATTAAGCTGGTCTAATTCTTGGTAACATAAGAATTAAAGATAAAATAATTGGGATGCCAAAACAAGAAATGGATTCTCTTCTCTGCTCAAGATTACTATTCTTACTACCTCTGAAGCCTGTCAAGGGTAATCTACGCAGGATGGACATTTTTGTGGCTATGGTACAGTAGTTCGACTCAATGTCTACCAATGGAAGAAGAGCTGAACAAATAAAAATACTTCCTCTTGGTCGTACAATTCAGAATCCTATTTATATACATACACACACGTGTGTGTAAACACGTGTGCATGTATTTCCATTTTGCTATTTCTTCTACAACTCTGCTACCTTCCTTCCAGGTAATATTTAATAGAGTCATATTTCCTAAGAAAATGTCAACATCACCCCATTTTTCCCTAGCCCCTCTTAAAAACTCAACAGGTCAGTAGGATTTTTAGAAATAGGGCTTTTCAGTTTCCAAAATAAAACCAAATAAAAGTATAGAAAAATTATTGACTAAACACAAACCTTAATAATAAAGAACTACATAGATAACTATCCCCAAGTAAATACTTCTCTCTTTCCACTCTGATACATTCTAGTTAAAATAGAGGCGGAGGGAAGGATTTTGCTCACAGTTGCTGACAGGGGTAAATGTATCCTTTTGCTGCATCCTTGGGTGACAGGATGGGCCTGTTATTCAGAAAGAAGCCTCGAAAGGCTTGATGGTCAAAACTGATAATGTATTAACATAGATTAAACATTTTTAATTTTCAAAAGTTCTTAACCAAGTCTTCTAAAGGTTCACAATCATTACCACCCATGTTATAAGCCTGCCATTGAGGGAAAAAACCTTTTTCCCCAAATTCTTCTCTTAATATGGGGAAAAAGAGGAAGAAATATGAATGTAATTGAAATGTTGCATTAAAAAGACAATAGGTGTCAAACATATAGAGATGAGGACATGATTGGAAATGTAATCATACATCAATATAGGGGAGGGAAAGCCAACTAGGGTCAGCTCAAGCCCTCCTCTTATCACAATCTAGCTAGTGGAGTAGCACCAACATGTGACTTTCCTGTGCTTATTGTTGCAAAGAACTAAAACTAATTTAGCTGTACACATTTGGGTGGCTCTATACTATAAGGGCATAAGATAGGTTGGCAAGTCCATGATAGTAGATTCTTCTCCTTTGGTTGAAATCACATGAAATACTTTCTTTTCAGAGAAAAGATATTAAAGGATTTTCTACACTGAAAACAAGTAAGAAGGGATTTCAAGATTAACAATGTTTCCAGATATTAAATAGGAATTCAGTACATCTTGTAATAAATTTTGGTCTTTGCCTCCTTTAATCTTTTCTTCTTTGTCTCTTCCCTTCCCAACCCTCCCACAACTATTCTTACCTATATGCTTCCCTTTCTCATTTATATACCTGTTGTCTTCTCTTTTTCCTCTCATCTCTCATCTTTAATAGGATACTTTATTTCTTTATTTATACCCTGCATGTTTTATTAAAGATTTGGGGTGACTTTTCACTGTTGTATTTAGAATATAACATTTCCAGTTCTTCTAATGCAGATTAGCGAATATTTATTTCCTTTCTCATTTTTAAAGCAAAATGAAACACTAAATTAAGTTGCCCTTAACCACGTGACTGTTGATAATTTTTTTCCTGTAGTTCAATTGCCCTCCAGAGAAACCCAGCTCCCTCACATTCCTTATAGTATAAAAAAAAGTATAAATAATTACTTACTCTTGGATGGAAAGCTATGGCAGTGACAAAATCTATATGTTGAAAGCAGCAAAGGCATTCTCTTCTGGAAATGTGCCATAACCTGACTGTCTTATCCATTGAAGAAGAAAGCAGAAAGTAGTTCTAGAGAGAAATTGACATTGATTATTTTATCACAATAAAAGTGACCTTTTGGTGTTATGTACCTCAATAGTTTTGTTATTATTATTGCTATATGTAGCATCAGAAAGAACAAAAGAATACCTAATTCATTTGAAAGATCCCATTTTTTTCTAAACAGTTAAATACCATATTTCTTTGATTCTAAGACTTTTTCACATTACCTATTCTGAAATTAGGATGAATCTTATGATCTATGTCAAAAGAAATCTGCCAGGTACCAACAGAGGACTAAGGTGTGCCTTAGTTGTTATAGCCTGCATATATTGGAACTTAGCTATGAATATAAGGCATCTATTCATTTGATTGTCACTTTGGTTGAATTATTTTCACATCGACAACACTGGTGAATTTTAACTCACACGGATTCCCTAAATGTCACTTAAAATGCCTTCAAAAACATTACCCTATAATGCAGCAGGGAAATGAAAAGTTATTGTGCACCTGTCACACCCTAGGCAAGAAAACTAGAGAATAGAAATTGTCAAATCTCTCAGAATAGATCACAGAATTTTCAAAGCTAGAAGAGAGTAGTGTAACTGATTTAGGCATTGCTGATGGCCCATTACCCAGCACCAAACATCTATCTGTCAAAAGCTTCCAGCTGGTAGAAGTTCTTTGATTTCTAAACATAATCTATTTAAGGGGAGAACTATGAATTATACTGAACAAGGAAACTCAAATGAGACCCTAAGATTCTTTGGTATGCCTAAAGGCACTAAACAAATCGAAGTAATGATGACATTTATTGAGTACTTAGAATGTGCTAAACATTGTTCTTAACACGATACAGCAACCCTACGAGGCAGGTACATTATTATTCCTTTTTACAAATGAGAATGCTGAGGCACAGAGAGGTTACATAATTTGTCTAAGACTATACAGCTCGTCAGTGGCAGAGCTGGGATTCAAACTTGGGTAGTCTGACTCTAGGTCCAGGTTCTAACCACTAACACTCTTCTGCAGAGTGCTCAAGTAGACCACATGCTACAAAAAGAAACAAGATGCTTTGTCATTTGCTAAAAGTAATAACGAATCTTTAATCTTTGAATGCAAAAAGACTAAGTGTAAATATTGATTTGGCTATGTTACTGTACTAATAAATATATATGCTATTTTGGGCTGGTTTAATAAGTGTACATTTTATGTGGTATACCTGTTTTTAAATAGATGGTGTACCTTATAATTAAAAAATAGAATTTTGAAAGATTTACAATAACTCTTTAAAGACCTAATAACAATTATCCTTATTTTCAAGATCTATTCAGTTCCAGAAATGTTTTGAAGAGTATGTGCAGTTTGCTTTATATTTCCTGTTGATTAATAACAACTGTATAAAATCTAAATCCATGGTCTGCTGTTCATTAAAACTGACTTTATTCAATTCTTGCAATAGTCCATTGCTTTAATCATATGAAATAAATATAAAGACATACCTAAAAGTGAAGATGCTGAAGACAAGTTAAGACTTGTTCTACTACGCCAAGATATTCCTATTCAATAAATACTTATTGAATAAATAAAATTAAATAATTTTCTTCAACTAAGCATGATCTTGGGAGTCAAAGAAGTCAGATTCAAATCTAAGTTCCACCCATAACTAGTTGTGCGATCTTGGACAGGTCAGAGGCCCAGTCTCCTCATCTACAAAATGAAATACCGTCTACCTCACAGGGTTGTTATTGTAAGAATTAACAAGGGAATTCTTGTTACCTGGCACAAAATAAGTCTTCAACAAATATAAAACCCACTATAAACACTGATTGTGCTAGATACGGAAGAGAAACGACAGTAAAATAAGATCTGGTCCCTACTCTTGAGAGGGACCCCTTGAGGGGCTTAGAATCTTGTTGCAAACAAGACATAGAAATGTACATGGTTAAACAGTTAAGTAAAAAAAAGAGTTTAAGAAAAGAACATACAGGCAGATGAAGGCCTTAAAAACAAAAACTGAGGTTTCCTGGAGAAGAAATTCTGCCTTAAGACTCCAGTATGACTCCTGCTGAGTTGCCAGCCTGCCAGCCTGTCCTACAGATTTCAAACTTGCCTGCCCCCACAACTGCATAAGCCAATTTCTTAAAATAATCCTCCTTATGTATGTATATCCTCTTGGTTCTGTTACTCTGGAGAGCCCTGACTGATACTGTGGTCAGTGGAGATCTCATTTCCTCCAGTTAGTGTTATATTACAGAAAAAATATTGGTTTGCTTTAAGCAAGTAAAATGAGTGCAAGGTTCCCAGTTACGTGCTTTGTACTTCTTATTCCAGATGAATATGATTATCAGATTAAGGATACTTTAGATTTCCATCTTCTGACAACTCAGTCAGATTTCGCACAGGGTGGGGAAGGAGTACAAAGACACAATTAGGGCTCAGTTTACAACCAGACTACCAGGTGAGGCCCAAGCTTGTTCCAGTAGATTAGAGAAAGACATTATGACAAATGGGTTATGAAAACCATCCAGAACCTCTAAACAAGTATGATAGGAGCAGCAATTCATAAAAGAAGTGAGTCAAGGCTGAAGCTCAGGGAAAGACTAACTTGCCAATATATACCAGTGATATCTTTGTGGTACATGAGGTTCTCCTGACATATTTACAATATATAGGCAGCACTGGTATCCCTGATAGTATTTTGTTAATTCAGTTGACTTTTCTCAGTTTAAGGATTCTAAATATTACTTTCCCCCTGAATTCTTAATATATTTTAGATTCTGATTACTGACAAATTTTAATACAAAGAAAGTGTAACATATCATGCAAAAATTCCAAAGACTGCTTCATGCTTTAAAGACCTTACATCAAATTTAAAATACCTCTCTAAATTTTCACAAAACTGCTAAGATATTTGATCAGTGGCAAAGCAGCCCTTCTACTTCTGAAAAAATTTTGCCCTAAGGGGGAAAAAAAATCACAAAATGAAGACTTAACATTGATTCATAGAATATAACTGGTAAACCTAAATTAATAATTTCACAGTAGCAGAATTAGCTCCAAATGTAGCAAAATGTAGCAGATAAGCCCCAAAGCAGTCTTGATTAGACAGATCAGACTTCACCTTTGTAGCTGAAGTCATATCCATTTTGCTGAGGATAGTTTACTTTGCAAAATTACTTTATAAAAATGGGGCCAGCCCTGTGGTATAGTGGTTAAAGTTTGGCATGCTCCCCTTCGGCGGCCCGGGTTCACAGATTCGGATCCCGGGTGCAGACCCACACTGCTCATCAACCATGCTATGGCAGCGACCCACATACGAAATAGAGGAAGACTGGCACAGATGTTAGCTCAGGGCTAATCCTCCTCAAGCAAAAAAATAAAAAGGAAGATTGGCAACAAATGTTAGCTCAGGGCGAATCTCCCTCAGCAAAAAAAGAAAAAAAAATTATTTATAAAAGAAGCAAAAGGTACAGTATACAGACACACCCAAGTAGAAACTGTTAATATAAAGTAAACGTTTTCTTATTAGCCTAACCTGATGTTTCTATTTTTTAACTTCGATTAATTTGTAGACAACTCCCACAAAATAGATACGAACATTCAAACACTTGACAGTGTGACAATCATACAAATAAAACATTTGCTTTTACCCTAAAGTCATATTACATACAATAAATACACAAATTCAAATAAGAATTTCTTACTTTAGACCATGAAAGATCAAGGAGATCTGCAGTATGTCCCTTATATTTGCAAAACGGCCGTTGTCGAAATGGTGCATTTTTATCATCAGGGTCTTCATCAGCTCCACTGCATACCTATTTAGACATAAAGACAAACATTAAAACTACCAAAGCAAAAGCTTCATACTCTTCCCACTCCATCTGTTCTCTCATCATTTTGTATGACGCCTCACTGAAATCTTGATCCACCAAAAGCAAACTCCCCTTTATGCTGCATCTACAACTTATCACCTCTTCACCTCCTTGACCTAACAAACCAGGATCAACCCTGAAGACACTGCGCTATCAGAATCTTTTCCCTCCCTAACAGAACTCCCACTTTGTCCTTCTGAGCATCTGTTCCTTCAGGAGAGGCAGGAGCCAGAACCAGAGGGTGATCGTGATTGGTCTAAGCTAATCAAGATGAGCTCATTCTCTTTCCCAGTGATGACTGGTTTAGGCATGGGTATGCGCCACAATTTTCATTAATTAGACATGAGGTAAAGTTTATTGGGGGATGAGGGGTAACAGGGAGATGCTTCTAGAAAGATTTCCTCATTCTTAAAAAGGATCATACTAAAGGGACCTTCCTCTTTCCTGCCTCTCAACATTGTTGTTGGCATGTGACACCTGTAGCAGCCATCTTAGGACCATGAGGGGAAGAAGCCCAAGAGAACAACAAATAAAGAGCAGCAAAGCAGGAAGATGGTAGGACCCTGTGTCCCTGATGACACTACTAAGCTGCTGAATTAACCAACCCTGGAACAGCCTTACCTCCAGACTTGCTTCCTCATTGTTTAAGCCATTTTCAGTTGGATTTCTGTTATTTGAAGTGAAAAGCATCCTGACAGAGGTAGGCAGAAAATTATGCCATACATGTGTGCTGCGTATTTAGTTTACAACATGGTCTTGTATCCATTATCTAAACGAATCCTAACAACTTGGTGAGATAAGTAGTAACATCATGAAGAGGAAGAAATTAAGAAAAAAATTGAGGTTCAAAGAAGTTAAAATAACATATTAAAGGTCACACAGCCACCTGTAACCAGCAGAACCAAAGCAAAAATACAAATCATCTAACTGCAGGACCAGAGACTGTCCCTCAAATGTTTTAGAGGGTGTAGCATGAGCAAAAATATGGAGTATGAGCTAAGCCTTGCATATTTAGGGAAGAGTAGGTAGGACGATAAGGATGGAGAAAAAAGTATATAGAGATATAGCAGGGGATTAACGTGGAAAGGTACTTTGAGACCAGATCATAAAGAGCCTCGAATTTGTGCCTTAAAAGTTCAGATATTCTAAGGCAATGAAGAGCCGACACAGGTCTCTGAAAAGGAAAATAACACGATCTGACTGGAGCTTTAGAAAGAGAATGCTGGCGACAATGTAAAAGATGGTTTGGAGAGAGAGAGTGGAGGCAGAAACAGCAGTCAGTAAATTTAAGTAAGAATAATGAGGGCTTAAACTAGGACAGTGGCCATGGGGATAGATAAAAACTACCACTACTATTTGCTCAGAACTTCACAGTTTATAAAAATATCTTCACATCAATTGTGGAGGTAGACCAGCAACACAGATGCCCTGACCTTTTGCCAAGCACTCCTAATCCTAGCTGACTACAACTACTTGCCCTAATTTTGCTGCCAGACTAGGGAGCACTGCTAGAAGACATAAACTAAGCAGGCTTGTCTCATTACATAAAATTCAACTTTCTGTTTAATAATCATTTACACGTTTCATTAACTCCTTCGCATATTTCCTCTAGCAGTGATTCCAGACCCTCTTTTTAATTCCTTAAACATCCATTTTCTTCTCTTTGTACTCTATCTTTTTTCAAAACACTTAAATAATGGTTTTTTTTTTAATTATAAAGTAATACATGTTCAGGGTAGACAATTCAGAAAACATAGAAAGTAGAAAAACCAAAATTAAAATCACCCATAACCTGCTACATTTTGACCATCTTCAATCTTTCATTTTTTAAAAAAATAACTGAAATCATATTGTACACACAATTCGGCATCTTCCTTTTTATTATACCACAAGCATTTTCTGTATTTCACTGTTTGAAAACATTTACTGGCTGCATAATATGGATGCATCATAATTTAATCATTCTCTATTTGTTGGTCATTTAGACATTTCCATTTTTTTGCTAATATAAACAGCAGTTCAATGAATATCCTGGAACATGAATCTTTATCCCTATTTTATTATTTGTTTATCCTAATATAAGGGGTATTACTAAGTCAAAAAGTATAAACCTAAGACTTTTATAATGTCTACTGTTGTTGTTTTCGATAAAAGCAGGTAAGTTTATTAAAGAAAACTTCAGAAATACAGAGAAGTATAAAAAATCAAATAAAAATGACCTAAAATCCTACCACCTAGAGATAACCACTATTAATAATTCAGTGTATTTTCTTTAAATCTTTTATCTATAAATATTTATAGATTTTTTTTAGTCAAAATTGGGATAATATTGTATCTAATTCTTCATTCTCCTCTTTTCATTTTATTTTGAATATTTTTAATGTCATTAAACAGTCTTTGAAAACAATTTAAGGACTGCATAGTATTCTATTGTATGGATTATGCCACAGTTTTTATTTTTCAACTCTTATTAGAAATTTAGGTTGTTCAAATTTTTTTTTTTTTTTTTTTTTT